ATTGCTTCAATAATTCTTTTATACGGAAAATCTCGATCGGCCTCACTTTCTGCAAACAGGTATTCGTAGAATCCTCTATGAACCTGTCCTAAAAGATGAACTCTTGCATCGACACATTGAAACATAAGATTTTTCATCCATTCACCAATGTTTGATGGGGTGGTTCCTTTGAAAACCACCACGATAAAATTTTTCTCTTTAGACCAAAATATTCCGCAAAATGAGCCTCCATCATCAGTATTCAACTCTGAGACAGAAGTAAATTCAAGATCACCTAATTCTAAATTTTTTACTTGATTTTTTATAAATTCATCGTTTCTGTTTATTATTATAGAAATTAATCTTTCCACTTCTTCAAATCCGATCTCAGTAGCCCTTTCACCATCACCATTTGCTTCCCTTATTATTTCGTTTAGTTTATCTAGTGCATGTTCGAGGATCTTCTTCCTCTTATTCAATGAGCTTGTTTCTTTATAGTTTTTTTTTATTTCATGAACACAATCGTGAATCTTTGATATGTCTTGCCCATTGCGTACATACACTAAAGAGGATAAAAAAAGAAGTGCCTTGAGTTTTCTAAGCTTTCTGACGTCATCATCATCATTTTTGTCAATCTCTGATTGGCCCAATACTATTATCCCAGACTTAATCTCGTTTCTTAAATTATTGTCTTCGGCTGCTATTTTTTCTAATTTACATTTAGAAAAGTTCAAATATGGCACGTGAAAAATAAATCACATGATTTTTACAGTATGATACTCACGATTTGATAATTCAATGGTCCATTTTTTCATAATATCTTTAATTTCTTTTTCCCTAAGCGACGGAATCAAGCCATATATAAACAAGAAAACAGCCGATATTGTTAAAAAAGTTATTATTTTAAGAAAGTTGATGGGATGTCTAAGGATCACGGTCCAGTCTATGTATAAAGAGATGAATATGTATTCGATAGCATGAAAGATGTAAAGATAATAAGCCGCTTTTCCACGAAATTTTTTTGGAATTGTTGAGTGTTTGCTTCGGAACAAATCTCTGACTTTTATTTTATTCAGCTGGTCCCGTTTTGTTTGTTCAATATCAATAACATCTACGTAACACAAGAAAAATATTAGACAGTTATTTCAGAAATTCATTCATAACATCTGTTGAAGAGAAGACAATAATATACATTCGTTCTGATCCGAGATATCTGTAAAAAAGAATAAACATTTTTAGCACATATTTCTAAGAATAAATATAAATAATATAGTGACATACCGTTGGACATTACTCAAAAACCTTTATGTTATTAGTTAGAATTTGGTTTCTTTTCCTTTTTTTAATGGTATGATGAGGAACAATAAAAGATTCGGAGCTTTTTATACCGCATCATATTGCATCACACGGTTACTAATAAATGAATGTGTCCGTTAAAATCACGTAATCAAGGTATGGTATGACAACTAAAAGCGGAAACTGCAATATTGCACAAG